AATTTCTACCTTATAAACTTCAATACTCCTTTCAGATCGTGTTTCACAATATACGGGCAAAAATAGCCGTATATTGACTTTAGGGGTTTTACACTTGAAATTGGAAATGTTATGGTGTTTCATTATTGATATTATTTTGTGTGTTTATCATGTTTGGAATATAGCTAATGTCTCATATATATTGATTAAGAAAGACAAAATAGAGATGAATATAGATATTCACAAAAAGTTATATCAGTCGTATTTCTATTGGGAAAAAATTGTTATTGGATAATTCGCGAAAAGAGATTTTAGTTTATCATAATATTATAATCATACTCGTTATCTAACTCTTAATAATTATTGTATCACATCTTTATGTATACACCATTAAATAATCGATCGAATCCATCAATACTTTAATAATAATCATTACCACTTCTACAAGGATCTCAGATCGAGCAAGCACCCTCATAAATTGTCGTGTATAGGTGTGTTACATAACACAGTTCTACGATTGTATTTTTTTGGCTATGATACGAAGGAACACCATTATTTAGGGAGTTCGTACTCGAAGATCGCTTATAATCAGTCTTTAATTTACTAATTCTCTGTAAATGATCGTACTTTTTCTTACTGCATACAGAGAAATATCACCGTAATGCTGTTTCATGTCATACAGCATAATACGATCACATAGAGTGAAATACCAATTTTATTAGATCGTTTTCCAGTGCACACAAATTCAGTATTCTTTATCTTTTCATGCAACTCATTTGTACCATATTTATGGCCATTCTTACCGCAGTTACTAAATGGGAACTGTGTCACAAATAGGCCTATAGACAAATGAATTTCCTTTCCAAGACTTTATCCTCTCAGTCTAGAAAATATTAAATAAGTGTCAGCTTCCCAAGTAGATATTTGAAGCAGTAGTTCTGGTAATCGTTGTAACACACTACAGTACTCACACAACTGTTTTGATCGGGTATAATTTTATCTATCCAAATCTTGTAGTCTGCTCAACATATTAAACACGTTTATTCGATAGGTGAAAAATTATTGAAATTGCACAGAAAAGTTGTACACTTATACATATATCGACTGAACGGATTAGGCAAAACTACTGCATCGATAGTTTTCTGTAGTAACTCTCCATGTTAAGAGATATACTTATATGCTCTTATCAGATATGTATTCTTCCTTTATTACTGCCTTCTCCTCTTAGATTGAAACGGCTTCTATGGATGGTATCGCTGAATTGGTCAATTGCTCACCTCTTACAGAGAGTGTTTTCGTCATTGCAGGCGAAAGTGTAGAATCCATTTCAAATGCACAAAACACAAGGTATGTTCAGAATAACACCATTAATCGAATAAAAACTTATATGATTTGACAGACTATATATGATTTTTTCCTTTGATGTCTAATATGATCGCTGTTTCTCTTACATAGGAATGATTGCCCTTCATCAATACTAAATTCAAGCACTAAAAGTATCTTTATATTGGCTACGTTCACAAGTGTAGCAATAGCCATTGGTATATTGGTAGTTTGCTTTACCTCACCAAAATCACCAAGTATGTCCTTGTTGTTCTACATTCTTCATATTGAATACAGTAAAAGCCAATAGTTAATTCGGTTCTGTTTTACCAGTATTGCGAATTTTTAGTAAAAAAACTCAAATTGTGATAATATTTCATATTGACATGCTCGAAGAAAATCATTCAGCTAGAACAGAATTATAAACACTACAACTGCTTCGCTTTGCTATCGCAAATTAGCACTGAAGAGCGCGAACTAATCAAGGTGATCATCACCAATAGATCCAATAGTTTGCCAATAATTCGAATCCAATCAGACAAAAAAATAACGAGAAAGAGGCCATTTCTTACAAGGAAATCTCATTAACTGATACTTTCTGTTTTGGCTCCTATTTTAATTTTTGGTAGGCGTCGTAGACCAGGGAAGAAATCCAAAAAGATTCATCCCAGTGTCGCATTTTCTCCCGTGAATCAAGGATAAAAGGTTTCTTTTAAAATGAGATGATTTTGTTGTTCTATGAAAGATTTCTTTTCATATTTCAATGAAGAAACACTTTCACGATTTGCTTTTTCATAAACTCATCTTACGCATTGTTACTTGTTGCAAAATATCAACTTTATGCTATATAATTTTTGGTGATATTTTATCACATCTCCGAGTGAAAAACAGCAGCTTATTCAAGATTTATTTTTCTTCTATCTCATCGACATGTTCTTGAATATAATAGAAATGCAAAAGAGTAAAAGAAAAATGCAAATGACTTTCTCATCAAACGTAACGAGACTAAATATTCCTTCTCTACTAGACACATCTGATTTACATTTTGTGGAACTGACATCTATTTTCACAGAAAATAGTGATTGTAAGTTTTAAGTTCAACTTTCGTAACTTCTCTCCCTCTCCATTGCAGATATTTAGTAACGGAAGTTCCCGTTGTCAGGCAGCTCTGCATTACATTCAACCTCCCCCCGTCTTCCGCCTCCATGACAGATCTTAGCAATGGAAAATAGCAAGAACGAGAATAAAAGAGACTTATTTATCAATTAATGCAATGATTATAAAAATAAGAAAATTAAATTAAGAAAAACAAACAGAAAAAAAATGAAAAATAACGGGTGAATAGCAATAATGCAAACAAAAAATAGGGCTCCTGTATAAAAAATTAAAAAAGCTCTGCTCAAAATGCATAAATGAGATAGCTCATTTACCTGTGCATCGATTAGCGTGGAAAACAGTTATAGTCTACCAAAGATTTTTTACTTTACGTATGTTTTATTAGGTTTATGAGACTAGAAAGCATATGTGAGTTCCACATTTCAGCTCCGAAGGGGCTGCGCTAACAAGCTTTTTTTTCACTATGTTTTGCCTGTAGAGTAAAGCAATCAATATATGTGTTCCATCTACGTATATATCTTTTTTTCGTTTTGCTATCATGTCTAAATGCACATACGTTTTCGTTTCTATGATGTTCAGGTACATTCGTTTTCTTTCTTTTCTTTTTGTACTGCACATATATGTTACTGCTCATATTCTCTACTGAGTTCTTTCTTTTACCGCTCTTTGAAACAATAAAACATTGTATTTATGTTATAAAGCACTATTTCTTTCTTTCTAATAATTGGTTAGTAGTCGACTACTTTAGCAAAGTGAACAAATAGTAAGTACATTTCTATTTTACCATTGTTCACATGTTTCGATAATAGAAATGAGTGGATCATGATGATGATCGAGATGATCAAGACTTACAAGATCTTTTACCATTAACATCTACACACCATCATCTTGGTAGGTTTTAGTGCGTCAAGTGTGGATGTCGCGCGGATGTGAGAGGATGAATGTTTCTCTCCTCTAAACCTACACACTCACAACTGCATCCTAGCTTTTCAAACTATGATAAAATATGTCTAGCTCATAGATTGTCTTTTGAAAATTGATCCGGTTCCTTTTAAAAATATTACAGATGTGTGGCATGAAAAAACGTTGTACTGATAGATCGATGATTCCTTGTTCTTAGTACACAAAGATCTGTGACGCACTCATTCTTTTTTCGAGTTATAATTAGGCTGATCACTCATTTTCTTGATCTTTGATTTCTCATTCTCATTTCTTGTATCATTTTATTTTCTTATTAAAGGAAAAGTTAGATAAAAACCTTCTGTTTTTATACAACAAGTAATGATACACAAGATGAGTTTGTAAACAGTCAATTCGTGAACATGTTCTTTTATTGAGATATGGACAATAGGACGAATCCTTTTGGAATTTTTCTTTACTCTATGACTTCTACTAATGAGCAAACTATGAGCTAAAACAGAGGGTATCTAGGAATGGGGTATTCGCATTACTGTTACCAGTAAGTACTAATTAGTATATGCCGATAAGTAATGAGTGCACTGTATTTAATTCGATGTCTAAGCAGGGATAACCCTCCAGTTATTTTATTGGGTAACGAAAAGCTCGTCAGTTTGATTTTTGCTTCAAACAAAGCCTATTTATGAAAACAGCAACATCTTATAATATTTTGATCAAAGGCTTTTGGAGTCGACAAATTGAACAGATGATGCGCATAAGAAAACGCATCAGTTGACCTCGAAATTTACAGAAGAAGCATATATTTCGATTCAGAATGAGACGATAAATCGTTTGATACCACATTCAAACAATTTACCGTCTCATCCTGCACTGAAATATGTACTTCTTCTGTAATTTCGAGGTGGACTGATTCTTTTTCTTACTTGTTCCCGCCATTTATTGATAGCTTTTCGAAATGTGTAGTTTTTAGATTCATACTCTGGAAACAATATTTCTCCACAATAGCGACACTACAAATTTTGAGAAATCATAGATAACTTTGGATTCCTTGAACTCAAAATCATTTTATCACACTTCAAACACGGGTTTATTTTGGTAGAATAGGTCTTTTCCGAGTGAGAAATTAAACTAACACATTTTCCGTCACCTAATAAGATAACTTGTTGGTAATAGTAATTCGTCTCGTGAGTTCTCTAGTCAAATACGAAGCAGTTATTACTGACCAACAAATACTACTTACTAATAACTGATATGTGGTATTTATCTAGAATAAGTAGAAATCATCATATAGCTATAGAGGCCATATTATAGCAATGCAGCATGATCAGATAAAATACAATGCGTTTCGCGAACGAATTCTCAAGAAAATGGAAGAGAGTGCACAAAGAATGAAAACAGATGATGAATTTCATGAAATTTAACGAGATTTTACTGTAAAGTAATGGTTCCCATCAAGATCTAGTTGCAATAATCCAACAATTCCCAATAGAACATCATCGACATTATGGGAATCTGATGCAATCCACTAGGGATACTTGAATCATAGTAGTTGATCAACCCTTACTTCTTTGTTCTTCTATTACTTAGTTCCAAAATGTGAACTTGATTTTAAAGCAACAGCCTACAATCCAATTGACTATAGGTATGATCCACGATCTGTCGCCATGGGTGACTTCAATAACGATACTTGGCTAGATATTGCTGTTGTCAATTATGCTGCTAACATTGTAGCAATCTATTTTGGATCTGACAATGGCACTGTGGCAAGTCCAGTCAAGTATTCTACCGGTATTGACTCTGCTCCGTACATGATTGCTGTTGGTGATTTCGACAACGATCATCGACTGGATGTTGCCATCGCGAATTTCGGTACAAACAGCGTTGTTGTACTTCTTAGGTTTCAAGATGGGTCTTTTGCGAACCAAACAGTGCTCTCAGTTGCATCATCTCGTCCTGTTTGGGTTCATGTAGCAGATCTCAACAATGACGCAGCACTAGATATTGTTACCGTCAACTATGGCACTCACAGCATAAGTATATTTTTTGGATATGGAAATGGAAGCTTTTCAATCCCGAACAGTTATTCTACAGGCTATGATTCTTTTCCATCTGCAGTTGTTAGTGGGGATTTCAACAGCGACAAACAGATGGATCTTGCTATCACCAATTATGGCACAAACAACGTCGGTATAATGCTTAGTAATGGTAATGGTAATTTCGCAAATCAGATCACATTTTCAACTGGCCCACATTCCCATCCATATTCGATTGCCGTTGGTTATTTAAACGAAGACGCCATACTAGATATTGCCATCGCTAATTCTGGAAATAACAGTGTAGGTGTACTTCTGGGTCACGACAATGGAAATTTTATGAGTCAAACGACATATTCCCTCAGCGCTGCTTCTCCATATTCTATTGGCATTGGTGACTTCAACAACGATAACCGAATGGATTTAATCGTCACTAATAATGGCACTCACAATATAGCTCTACTTGTCGGATATGGTAACGGCACCTTTGCAAACCCAAAAATGTATTCAACTGGATCTTCTTCATCTATCTCCGTCGCCATAGGTGATTTAAACAAAGATAATCGTTCAGACATTGTTGTCATTAACAATGACACCAGCACCATAGGTATCATGCTTGGTTATGACGAATTTTTTCCAATTCAAACGGCATATACAACTGGCTCTTACCCATACTTTGTAGCTGTTGGTGATTTCAATAACGACAGCCGATTGGATATCGTTGTTGCTAATCTAGCTGACGGTAGTGTAGGTGTTCTTGTTGGATATGTCAATGGCTCTTTTTCAAATCAAATGACATATTCAACTGGCTCTTACCCATACTCTATAGCTGTTGGTGATTTTAATAACGACACCCGGTTGGATATCGTCGTCGCTAATTCTGGTGATAACACTGTAAGTGTTCTTCTCGGATATGGTAATGGCTCTTTTGCCAATCAAATGACATATTCAACTGGCTCTAAACCATACTCTGTAGCTGTTAGTGATTTTAATAACGACATCCGACTGGATATCGTCGTGGCTAATTTCAAGGACCACACTGTAAGTGTCCTTCTCGGACTTGGAAATGGCTCTTTTGCAAATCAAATGACCTATTCAACTGGTATTGGCCCATTTTCTGTAGCTGTCGGTGATTTTAACAACGACACCCAATTAGATATCATCATTGTTAATTCTGGTGATAACACTGTAAGTGTCCTTCTCGGACATAGCAATGGCTCTTTTGCAAATCAAATGACATATTCAACTGGCTCTGGGCCACAGTTAGTAGTTGTTAATGACTTAAATAACGACAACCAATTGGACATTATCGTCACTAATTATTTTGACCACACTGTAAGTGTTCTTCTCGGACAT